AAACCTGTGAAGGATCCCTGTAGCCGTGTCATTGTTATAGTACTGCTGTTAAGAAGGCCACGGTACTGTAACAACATTAAAAATATATATATATATATATTATATACAGATCTTCTTGTAATAATGCCAACTAAAAATTAATATAATGCTAGAAAAATCTATACTATATTTGGTCAAAATAAGTTTAGAGTAAGTTTCAGATCTCTGAAGGAGGCTAACTGTTGCTGGGCAAATCATATCTGGGTATAATACTTTGATTTTGATTCAACTTAACTATAAATAAAGTATTAGAGATGAGTTTGACTTTTTGTTAAGATATTATAAATTGTATTTATATAACTAGATAGATCAATTTTTTTCCAAATAAAAGTAAACAAGATTTGCTTTAGAAAAAAACCTTCAAAACTTAATAAAAATATAATTAGAGGTCTGATCTGATGAATAGTATATTCGAATATTCATTGAATATTCGAATATTCAAATAATAATTTTTTTACCAAATTGATTATTTGAATATTTTAACTTTTTCACCAAATATTCAATGAATATTCAATAAATATATATATTTAAATCTAAGCCACAAAAAATATTTACAGAATATTCATTGAATATTCAATGAATATTCAGTGAATGTTTTTTGTGACTTAGCTAAGTACTGTTATACAAAATTTATTTTTAGATATTTTATCTTATCCTACACCTCTACATGTTATTAATCTATAAAAAAAATAAATTTTTATTGGTGCTACATTAAAAATAGGATTCTAATATTAGAATCCTATTTTTAATATAGTACTAATAAAAACTCCTTTTTTTTATAGATTAATGACATGTAGGAAATAAAATATCTAAAAATAAATTTTGTATAACAGTACTTAGCTAAGCCACAAAAAATGATTCATTGAATATTCAATGAATATTCATTGAATGTTTTTTGTAGCTTAGTTAAATACTATTATACAAAATTTATTTTTAAATATTTAAATCATTTTTTAAAAATTAAAGAAATTTTTAATAAACTAATCTCTCTTGGGCTTCTAATTAAAGTTGTAAAGAAGGTTTTTATGATTTTAATGATATTTAGATCATTTAAATCGGCCTAGTAGATCTTAAGATATTTGAAAGTTACACAAAGAATTATAGTCTATACTTTGTATAACTAGCAATTTGTAAATCACTATTTTTGCATCTTAGATCACAAATATCTTGAGATCTACTAGACCAATTTGGATGTTTTTTTTTTTTTTGATTTTGCTATATACATGATAAGATAAGTTACAAATTTGTATCAAGATAATAATAATAATTCTAACTATCTATTGTATTTTGTATAACCACCTAAGTGTAGTAAAACATCTCTTAATTTTCTGTTTATAAACTAATTTAAGTCTAGCTACCATTAGTTATAGAAGGAAAAAGAAGGAGCCCAACAATTTGGATGATTTAAATACTATTAGAATCATAAAAATCTTCTCTACAACTTTAATTAGAAGCAAATAGGAGATTGGTTTATTAAAAACTTCTTTAATTTTTAAAAAATTATTTTTTTATATTTAATTAGTTAACTAAAAATAAAGATTTAATTTTTATTAGTACAATATTAAATTTAATATAAAATACTTATCTTGTTTTATAGATTAGCAATATTTAGAGTGTAGAATAAAAATAAGATTCAATAAAAAATCTTATTTTTAATATAAAGTTAGAGGGTGTGGCGACTTAGTGTAGTTGATAAGTTGTCATACTCCTAAATGGCAGATCTAGAGTTCAAATCTTACTGGTAATGATTTTGAAAAATAAGATTTGTTTTGGTAACATTTATTCAATGATCGGTTGGGTATACCATCTGTAATCTTGGTACCATCATCTTGAATAAAAACTTTTGAACAAAGTTGTGTGACATTACACAGACAAAGCCAAGGAACTGGAATAATTGAAACCTATTTGGCAAGACCCAAGCAAAGAAGTAGTGAAGATCTTCAATGATACTACAGAAGCCAGAATTTCAGAAACCAGAGACTGAAAAATTAAATATATAACTTTGGGACAAGAAGGGTTCACCAATCTGGCCGCCAGAGTTGTACTGAAAGAAAAGGTCCTATGCTACAAAATTAGGAACCAAAGGAAGGAAACCACCAGATACTTAAAGCAGTGTTGTACATTTTGACTGTCCAAAGGCTTTTTTGATACTGTCTAACATCCAAATGTTCAAGTGTCCACAAATGTCCAGAGCATGTCTAAGCTCTAATAATTAATAAATTTGTTTAAAAAATATATGATTATATATTTTTTTATATGCTGAACATATTTTACTTAGAAATTAATATAGATTATCTTAATAAAATTTTGAATAATTTTAATTTATTTAATTGTTCAAAATTATCCAAAGTGTCCAAACTTACTGTCCACAACTGTCCTGTGACAACACCGCTTAAAGTCTAGGTATACTGACCTATTTAGGCTAACTGGATTGGAAGTTTGGGAGGGATCAGTATAAGAACTAGAAGGAAAGTAGATGTAGGTATCGGGATCAGAATGAATCAAAGGAACCAGAAATTGTGTAGTTTAATGGTTAGCTCTGATTGCTAGTGTTAGTTTCAACCATAGCAGATAAGTTTTCTGAATCTAATTCAAAAATAGGTAGGACATAGAAGAATTAGAAGGGCTGCCACTATGTCCACCTGTGGGAACCCAAGGGCAACCAATGGAGTAACCAAGTCCAGGTAAGTAAGTGAAGAGCACTTTGGTATAAAGGTACCTAGCTTAAAATAATTGGTGGGTATGTATAATCAGAGGGTTTAAATAGATAATCCCCTAGTTGGGTTATAGGTATGGCATCTAGTGTAGAACCTTTGGGCAAACTACTACTTAAATTAGGCAACCAAAAGTTGCATATGTAACTAGTTGTACTCTCATTGTAATACCAAAACTGTAGACCCATGTGGTCAATGACTTAACATCAATAAAAGCTTGGTCTTAAAGGACACCTTAAAAAAAAATATACATATATATATATAAAGTTAGGATTATTATAATATAATATTCATTGAATATTCAGTGAATATTCGAATATTCATTTAAAATTTTCAATGAATATTCGAATATTAAAAAGACTGAACAAATGAATATTCGAATACAAATTTTTGACCAAATCAGACCTCTAAATATAATTATTAAAAAAATAGATAATTAAATATTTAAATTATCTAATTAGAGTTTTTAATTATAATTAATTTATTTTTAATTAAATAATAGTTTTAGCTTTAAATTAGAGATTGGGCCCGTTGAGAAAATCTCTACTCTGGTATTATTAAATTACCCGGGTTATCCGGGTAAATTATTATATATTTCGGGTAATCGTATAGTAACAATTTCTACCTGGGTCCCTACTTTAAATAACCAGTTATCAACTAGTTTTTATCTAATATTAAAGATTTTTAAACTAGTTTAAAATTTATTTTTATTATCTATACTATTACTGGTCATCTATAACTTCAAAACCTTTGCCAAATATATTACAATTGTGATACCAACAATATTATACAACAATATCCAGAATGCTTAATAATGGCGCGATTTTATTGGTTATCTGCTTGCTGCGGCATAAAATTTTGATTTTTTTTTTTATTTTTGAACCAGGCCGGATATGAAAACCAATTTATTTTGCCTTATAAATCTATTTTTAAAGTTTTAGCGAAAGTTTTTAAAAAATTTTAATATACTTTATTCAAATATTCAAACTCTAAACTAACCTTAAGGGTAGGGTATACAAATTTCCAATTTCATATAAAATAGATTGTACATCAACTTTGTGTATATGATATCATGATTTACATGTAAACATCATATGATTCGACCAATCATAACTAGCAATTTTTGTGTAACCCCGGTAAAACATATAGCGACCCCGGCAACTTTGATTATATATAAAGTTCATTTTTTTTAAATCAATGTATATTCCACAACTTCACTATTATAAACAAACTAGTTTAAACTACATATCATATAAATTTCATACAAATTAACTGAGATGTTAAAAAGTTTAATCAGAAGCATTTTTTTATTTACTATGTAAAAATTCAATGTACCATGCAGATCATATGAAAAATGATCTACGTACACCCTACCCTTAAGTTATTTTAATTTTTATCTTCAAATTTTATGTTAATAGATTTACTAATTATACATGTGTTTTATACACTAGTATACTTCTTTTTAATATATTTATGTTTTAACATTACCGTATTAATTATCCGCATTCAAGATTGAATGTAAACTTCAATCATATCACTATTTTCCCTATTGATTTCCCATTTTACCACTTTCCAATCTTCTTCATTTTGAATGTTGATAATGTTTTCTTCAACATTTCTGTATTGTAAAGTATCAATAGAAATAAGTGAGAATAAAGTTTCTGCTATAAGCAGCACCTTATCAAGAGTAGTATTTTGTTGGCATTTTATATTTATCGATTGTGGGCCATATTTAATAATAACAGAAAACTATAAAGAAATGATGCAATTTTATAAGAATTTGGAAAAACCTAATTAGTTGATTTCTATTTTGACCATTAATATTATATTATTAATAATATAAGATAATTACTTCAAAATTTTTTCCATGCATTTCATCGCTTGGTTTTTGAATTTGAGAGTTAACATTATTAGAAATATTATTGACATTATTTGCAGGTTTTTCATTAAATACTTGTTTTTTATCATATTCAGTAGAAGTTGCTTGTTTTTCATCATATTCAGTAGAAGTTGCTTGTTTTTTATCATATTCAGTAGAAGTTGCTTGTTTTTTATCATATTCAGTAGAAGTTGTTTGTTTTTTATCATATTCAGTAGAAGTTGCTTGTTTTTTAAGTGATAAAGCAAACATTTTTTTTAACTTTAAGTCCATTTGTTGGTTATGTGATTGTAACTTTTCACCTTTGTGAAATTTTTTAGAGGATCTGAACCTATACTGGTTCTAGAAAATGTAAAAAAAAAAAAAAAAAAAAATAGAATATTTTAAATAATAATATTTCGTCCAAATTCAAAAATTGCAATATTTACCTGATTTTGTTTATTGTGACGCAATCGTTCCTTGTGCATTTGGTCCCGTAAACAATCTACAAAGTCTTGGCCAAGAGCAGTAGTAACTCCTTTAGTCAGGTTAAACACAAGTTTCATAGCGTCATCAAAAATATCATTAAAAGGATTGTCAATAAGGGGAAATAATTGACCATCCTTATTTGCTCTATAATACTGCAATAAAATTTCATGACAATTTAAGACTCAGAGTTTTCAAAGCAGAATACGGTAAAACTTCTCTAATTGCACCCCCTCGGGACCATAGTAAAAAAAAGCAAAACGTGTACTTAAAAGAGTGTGTGCATTTAATTAGGGTAAAATATATAATGCTCTTATAAGTTTAGCCAAGCTATATCGTGCATATAGAGGGAATTTGCATAAAGCGTGCACTTACAGAACGTGCACTTAGGGAAGTCTTACTGTAATTATTATTATATCATTCTTACTCTTTTTTCATAATTCCTGTACAGGTTTATCACTATTTCCCCATCTCCATAGCTTGCAAATTTTGCGTTTCTTATATCTCTATAGTATAGATGAACCTCACGATCACCTATTGATATTGCAACTGCGCCCATATCGGGACGCAAGATTAGCGAAATTGGCGAATTTGGCGTCGCGGGAAGCCATCGATGATCGTTATTAATAATGTAATCAATTCTTATTTCGCTTAAAGGTTTCGTATATATGGGTCTTTCGCAATGCCAGTTATCTTTTCGGTAATATATATAATAAATATAATGTATAATTTTATTATATAAATCAAATAAATTGACAACTTTTTACAACCATTTTCTTCTATTTCGTAATCGTCCATAGTAGAGTTCATGAAATAAAAATTACCTCGTATGTGCTTATTTATCACGTAATTGGTCTTGGTGCAAAAGACTATCATTCCAGATTTGTTATGTACGTGCTACATTCAACCACTCATGTGATAGTTTCCAAAAACGAAAACAATGTCACTATCTGAACTTCGAATTTTTGTATGAGTACCCTGAGATGGTCATGTTATTCACAAGTCCTTGTACATACACAGGATTTTAAAACATGATTGATCTGGTTAGTAAAGTAATTTCATGCAAAATCATAAAAATTGATGTAATATCATACCATAAGTTTATTTTCATATACCTGCATATACTTGGTATTTAAAAAGGTCGTGTAAATTTTCCCTTGATTTGAGTCTATCTGATTTAAATAAAGTTTTGTCGAAAGTAAATAAAAAAGGAACACCCAGAAAACAAATTATATGCCATAACTTGCTTTCAACAAATAATATACTGTATTTTGCTTAGTGATGGGGTACAAATTTACTTATATGGCATCTAGGGGGTTGTTAATTAGTTGGTTTGAATTAGCTTCAACTCAAACCAGTTTGGAGTACTAAGTTCTAATATAATACTCCGCTTTGGTCACCAGTTTAGCTAACTGGTTTGAATATTTTACTTAATATATTTTATAACTCACTCCAGTCTGGTTTTGGTTTAAACTGGAGTGCTTCGGAGTATAATACTCCAATTAGCAACCTTAGTGTCATCTTAAACAATGTTAATGAGAAAATATTGTGATTTACAGTATTTGAAAAAAAATAGCTATTTAAAATTTTAATTTATCTAAATAAAATAGAGTGTTACAACTAATTCCTATCGAATGAATCAAGACTCCAAAATGCTCGTTTTTAATAGCTCCCTAAGAGCCATTGTTGCATATTGACTAGTTGATAAAGAAATGTGAATTCTTAGTGCTAATAATTTACCATCTACTTTCCTTCTAGTTCTTATACTGATCCCTCCCAAACTTCCAATCCAGTTAGCCTAAATAGGTCAGTATACC